TGTTACAAACAAAGTAACTCCCAAGTGATCACGTAAGCTAGAATACGAACAAAATACTCCAAAGACCAGTCTTTTACTGGGTAGTTTGCCAATCCTTTTGGTAACATATTTTAAGACCATGACATTCTCTATAAATATTTGCTCATCTACTAAACATATTCATTAATGAGAGCTTGCAAGATACAGTTAAAAGGACATTGCAGTAGATGTCTATAATGACTATTATCTGATAATAATATTGAGAGTCCTCGAATTCTTAAAAATATTTTTTAAAACATTATTTGTCTCTACAAAACATTTGAACATGATGAAAGAATGATCTAAAGTTTCTTTTATGTTTAACGTGAACATATGTGTATTGTTTGCTTACTATAGGGAAGGAGTCACCCCTTTAAAGCCTATAGACTTCCCTCTAGCATAGTTTTTAAAAACAAATAACAAAATGTATAGAATTATGAAGAAATGATGTATACTGAAATGTCTGAGGCCAAATACACAGGCCTGAATGTTCTATGGATAAGTTGAAGAACCTAGCTTTAGGTGGTCTCTTTATAAGTGGTTTATTTAAGGGTGAATTAAAAGCATCTCACCAAAACATGCTAGAACACATGTTGGCAGGGAAAAGCGATCTGGCCACCCTAGTGCGAGGCAAGTAATGGGAGCATGAACTGCAGGCTGGCTGAGTGAGTGGCCGGGATGGTGGCAGGATGCAAAGCTGATTCCTTACTTAACAGGGATCATGTACGGTGAGGTCCAGCAGATTTCTGCCACGTAACACTGTGGTTCCTATATGAGCCTATCTCCCACTTTTTGAAAGCTAGGTATCTGGATTTTTATATACACTGCCCTTCCTTGTTAAAGGTGAATGAAAAAAATCATACTGAGACAAAGAGGTATGTTTTACCCAGTTTGTCTAGAAGGCTGCAAGTTTATGACTTTAAGAAAATAAGAGAAGTTGGAAGAAAATCATTACTCAGTATTAGTATACTTTCTCTCAGTATTTTATTACACTTATTTTTAAAACATAAGAATTAATTTAAACTCAATTTCTTTCCTACAGTAGCAGTAGATGGTAAAAGACCAAGCAGTACCTTCTAGAACATTTTGATTCTTCTACTATTTATTGAAAACATACATCTATGTGCTAGGCAATTACAGGTTGATAAGAATAAAAAGATGAAGACAATGACTTTGTCTTAAGAGCTTAGAGACCAGTATATAAAGAGTTGTGCCATAAGTTTATAGTACAGTGTGTTAAGTAAAGCGTATCACAAAGATATGTAAAAAAGTACAACAGAAGTAGGAAGGAACCAAACACAAGTCTTCCCAGGAGACTGAAAAATTTCTCACAGGAGAGATGTCTTTTAGTAGAGATCCCCAATAAAGAGGCCCCAATTATTAATCATCAAATTGCATGTGCTTAATTGGATGTACAAATTGGTTGGATGGATGGATATGCAAACTGGATGGACATTTATACTAAAATAAAGTGAGCCATTGAAGAATTCTGATCAGGGGAGGCTGGGGATTTAGCTCAGCAGCATAAGCACCTGCCTTGCAAGCAGGCAGTCGTGAGTTCGATCCCCGGTACCGATAAAAAGGAAAAGAATTCTGATCAGGGAAGCTAGTATAGTCAGATTTGTTTCTCCTACTGCTGCATTATGGAATATGGGTTATAGGTGGAGACAGAGCCAGGAATGAAGACTCAAGATGATGATTCCATGAGTTGAAGATAGTGCACAAAAATGGAACCAAGACTATTTGGTTTGAAAGAGATTTTGAAGCTAGAAAAGAAAGAACCTGATAACTGACCGTATGTGGTGGGCAAGGTGACAAAAAAAGAGGAGAATTGAGAACCACTCATAGCACTTTGAATGAAAGCAAGTCTAGTTGAAAAGAACATAATCTCTGAGGCCAGAGTGCCTGAGTTCAAATCTTACCTCTTCCATTTTTTTGCATTGTGACTTTAGACAAGTTTCATTTTGTATAAAAATGTGTCAAGTGCTCTCACACAGGTGCTTATGCTCGTGTCTAAATATGACTATTGTTATGAATTACTATAATTCTGACTAGGGTGGCAGTGTCATTTGTCTTGATTTAGAATAGTCAGGGTTGCAGCTGATGTGCTTTCAGAACATTCTAGGTTTGTAGAAGGACATGATGAACCTCAGATGAAAAGAGTTTAATGGGCAGAGAGATGGCAAGGAGTCTTTTAGGCAAAGGAAATTGCCTAGAACGCTTTTAGAGAAGAAGGCCAGGGCTTTAGCCTCTAGGATGCTGATATTTATTGGAAAGAGAAAGAAGCAAAATCTGCAAAGGATCAGAAGAAGAGAAGGCCAGATGGGTGGTGAGAAAGAGTTGTATCTGAAGATGCAGAGAAGAAAGGGAACTAGAGAGACTACAATCAACACACACACACACACACACACACACACACACACAAAAACTTTTGAGGAGTCAAGTACACTAATAAACACAGTACTTATATTTCATAATTAGGAAATTTTTTAAAAAGTAATTATAATCAATGACTTGGCATTTGATATATGGAGAACACTTAAATGCTAGTTTCCACTATCTATCTATAGAGTCTATTTATAGATACGAAAGATTTTTAAAGTTTATATAAATGTTCCATATTTGTAGGTCAAAAAAACAATAATTTCAACAATTTTGTACATTTTATGCTAGGTGATTGAAAAGCTGCTTTGAATATCAGTAAAAGTAAAAAGATCTTTGTCCCCATTGCTTTTATTTTGATTCAATGGCAAAAATTACCTCTTTTTATAATTTTCCTAATAAAATGGAATAGATAACAATCACCAATATCATGTTCACCCAAACAAGAGATTTGGTCTTCTTTATTCTGTATTCATTGCAATTATTTTTCTTGTCACTTTGCCTTTGTGTCTAAAAACTCCAGAAGTGAAACCTGAATGCAAAAGTAATTTGAAGGAAAGGATAATTATACCTTTCCAAAGAAATGTCTCCTATTACTAATAACATTAGTATTGTGAAAAGTCTGGTTATTTTGGCAGTGTAGAATACGAGTTGAAAATGTTAAGAGAGTTGGCTTTGGAATCAAGTCCTGACTCCCCGATTTATCAGGCATGAGATCCAAGGAAAAATTTCTTGTCCTTCTTAGTCTATATTTCCTTATACAGATAGGACAGTGCTGTCTCTCAAGACTTTTAAGGATAAGGAGAAATAATGCAGATTGTAATAAGGGGTTAATCCTGTGACCCTTATAATAAATGGTAGCTTTATGAGATTTTGATTTTTAACTCTCTATAGTGGAGAAAATTTGATGGAATTCTTTAAAGACATAGGTACTTTAGAAGGACTGGCCCTTTCATACACCAGCAGAAGTTCCCTAAGTTCTTCCTAGCAGTGTGCCTTGCCCATTCCCTGGTAGCCTTCCAAGAGGAACAGCAGCCACGTCCAGAACTTCCCATCACACAGAGCTGAGGAAGCTTTGTGCTTCTCATCAGTTGAGACTTCACCAATGTGTTTTGCATAGCCAATGAAACATATAACTTACTACACAAAATTCCACAAAATCTATATTCAAATAAAGGCTCTCAACTAACCACCTAAGAATTACACATAAACTATATTGCTAAGGTTGTTCAATAAAAATACTTCATTATGTTCCCAAATATTTTTACTAATCTGATATTTTTTCAAAGTAAAAGCAAATTATTACTAAAGGCATACTTTCACTTCATATTAAATTTATGCAAAATAAATGTATTAACACACACTGAAACAATGCTGAAGAAACTTTTTAAAGTGCATCACCTAAGTTTTCAAATTGCACAAATTTCATGTTGAGTTTAAAGTTCTTTAAAAAAAGCAAGCCTGAAATGCCCTAACCTGTTATTTACTTTGCATTTTTCGAAAAGATTACTATGTTTTGCTATTGGCAAAATGGTCATTAAAAATGTAACACAATACTATATAGTGAAATAGAATCCCATAAAATATGATAGTATTATGAATCTTAAAGCCACCAGTGCAGATGTTCCTAATCATACTAAAAACACAAATGCATACCCCAGTTCGTTCCAGCTACAGAATAATTTAATTAAAAGAGTGCTTATAATTTAACAATATAAAAAAATAAAGCCAAGGAGCCAATGAAATTACAAGGAAATATAAACCTACAAGAGGCTATGCCAAAAAACTATACAAAATTCTCAAGGCTGAGAAATCAGGTTCTTTCCTTGCTACAGGTAGAAAATAATTAACTGTATTAGCCAAAAACTATGATGAATATACCTTTAGGGGAAAAACACGCACAACCTAGTTAACTAGCTCTCACCAAGAAAAACACCTATCTAAACCCAGAATGTCATTTGGAATCTGCTTTGGGAATGTTAAAATCAGACCATTCGCTAGTTTAAATTTCTTATTGAGATATAGATCTGGAGGTAACAGGGTACAAAAGCAAATCTGTACACAGAGTAAAACATGAGCTCTAAGGACATACAGTATTCTCTTTGCAAATAATGAGCTTGGCAAAGAGCCTCCTTTATGTACAGAAAGCTTTGTTCCTTGCTTACAACAACTCTCAAGGCTACAACAGGTAACTGTGCTGCTAATTAGGCTCAAAAACAATTGCATGCAAACCAGGAAATATTTTATAGCTTGATTCAGGGAAGGTAGGAAATTATGTTGGCAAGATCAACTCATAAAAGCCCATTTTCCTACAATTACTGATGCTTTACTCTGAAACAGTATGAACTCCCATATTGCAAATCTGTAATGCCATTCAAAAGTTGGTTCAATACTTAACTACTAGCAAAAATAAATTTCAAGGAAATTATGAAATCTCTTAAACATAGATATCCATGGTACCTATCTTTCCAAAGTTAATATCCATTTCATTAAATATTCAATTCATGAAATAAACTGTCAGTTCTAGATCATTAGTACTTTCCCAAGAAGCAATGGCATTCATTCTTCAGGAAACTAGAAAAGCAAATGCAGCACATTACCTTGAGTCACCTGTTGAACTGCCAACATTATCCCAGACACAGTGTCTGGAAGCAGGTTTTCTTTCAGATTGTACTGTGGTGCCCATTCCAAAATAGGTAGCCGCCTTCTGCACCACTGCCTGATGTCTTCACAGTGTGGGGTGTGCATCTTGCTCCAGAGCACGCTTTTCTTTTTCCTCTTTGCCCCTGTCATTTCTCAGATTCCCGCTTGTAGAAGTCAACTTCTTTAGACAAGGGGGAAAAAAATCGTTGCAGAACACCTCTCTGCAATGCCAGGCTCCAATTCGTCTGTGGTTTACAATGTCAAAGCTATTCAAAATATAAATAAATGAGAGAGAGAGAGAGAGAGAGAGAGAGAGAGAGAGAGAGAGAGAGAGATTAACAGAAGTATGTAAATGGATGCAGCTGGGCTGTATATGTTATTATGTTGCAGCTAATGATTCTAGATTAAAAACCTTGAATTCTTATCTGAATGAGGAGTGGTGCCTGCTACTGTAATATTTTTCTGATCTTGGAAAAGTCGTGGATTCAGTGGTGAGCTGCTCTACGGCTCTCTCGACAGTAATTCCCTTTATATTCACTGTAGTTTTATATTTTTGGCTGCAGTCCCAATGGTTAATGAGGTAGTTCTGGGCGTGTGTTAGAAGTGGGCTGGGCTATGCTAATAAAACCAGGAAGCATCCAGCCAGTCCAGTCTCTCCCTCCAAGCTATGCAAAACCATAAAGCTGCCAAAGGGATCTGCTGTATAAATTATTCTCAGAGAACCCAGCCGCACTTCTTTAGGAGGTAAATATTTCCCAACATTATCCAGCAACTGCCAGTTCTATACTTCAGTAACACAATGTGGCACTGTAAAGGTCCTTATCTTTTTTTTATCCCCTGATAGGTGAGATATTTATTCACACAAAAGTTTTCACTAGCCACTGCTCAGGCTGGGAAAGGAATCCCTAGTTCTCATAAACAAACTGAAATTTCATCTCCTGTGCTAAGAAAACAAGTATCACAATGTACAAATATTTGTGGCTAGTGTTGTTTCCCATCTCAAAACTATCCATTTAGGTATTTTTCTGGGCGGTGTAACTCACACACTTGTGCTATTGTAACTGAAATTTATTGAGAAATAATATGTCCTTCAAACTATTGTTTAAAATGTCCCTAAGTATTCAAGTGAGTAGTGCTATCCTCAGTCTACATAACTTTTAGGGGCTCATTTCTCTTTAAGAAGGAGTGTTACATTTTGTAATAGAACAAATAGACTGTCAAAATTTTATTTTATGTTTCCCTCAGACCCCAATAGAAAATGCCTGCATTTATGAGCTGTGCCATTGGAATTAAACCAATAAGCCAGTACCTAACGAAAACTGTGAAGCCAAGAAAAAAGTACCCTGTGTATAGTTTCTTGCAGCACTTTTTAATGCCTGTTTGTGCAGAGAAAAGAAATCTGCTTTCTGGAAGCCTTTACAGTACTAAAGTTTTGGGGTCCTTGGCTACTTCTAAGGACCCCCCCACTGCACTTTCTCTTGTTTTTCTCAAAGTGAAAAGAGCTACATTCTTAGCCTTACAAACATGACATTTCTTGCTTTGTATCTGTACAATAAGGCTTCTTTTTAAATTCAATGAATCATATATACATATACATAAATACATAGAGAGTGAGAGGAAAAAATAGGAAAGGGAGAGAAATTCATTTTATTTGTATCCACAAAATTTGTTTTGTATCTTATCATTTACATTATATTAAATTTACAAACAACTCAGTAGCTCAGGTTTGAGGCATGTGAAATTCCATTTAGAGGCACTTTAAAAGTTGTAGCATCATAACCCTATTCCTTTGGTATAGGAAGCGAATTCAACAGGCAAATATGAATCTGTTCCTAACATGGAGGCCTTTCCTTTACAAACAACAATACTTAACCCTTTGTCCCGTGTACTCCATTATACACACACGTTGTGACTGTTGGATTAAAAACTTGTTGAATTAAAAATTCATAGGAAGCTAGTCAGAGAGGTAGGGGAGCCAGAAAGGTCACACTGCTTTTGCTAATAAGGTTCTTTGTCAAGACAACAGAAATTCAAACCTACCAATGATGTGATCAAAATGATATTGTAAAAAGAAGTTTTCTATTGGTCCGTGAGTACAGCAGAATGTAACACAAGGTATGATCAAAAAATAATATACATTCAAAGCTGGGGGAAGTATTTTGAGGGAAATTAAGAGTGATGTGTCTTTTACTGTAATGAATATATTTTTAATTTAAACATTCGCCATATTTGCAGGATAAATTAATATTCAAGTCAGACAGTAAGTGACAGAAAGTGCATTTCCACTAAGAAAAAGGCTTTCCACCCCACTTACACCCTCCGTCCCACTCGGTAAATATCTTGTCTTCTGCTCATTACTTTCACTCTTCATCAATTGCTCTCTATACCAACTTCTCTAGTTGTGTGATCTTTTACATCTTCTAAATATTACCCATCCTCGATTTCCAGAGGATGCTGCTCATGCTGCATAATCAATATTCAGGGAACCCTCAGGCTACTCATGGATGTTGAGTTGTAGCTCACAGTTTATTGGTTTTCTTCCTTTAAATCCACTTCATGTGATTTTATTCAGTCTGGCTCATAAGATTATGAGTAAAGATTAGTCACATACTTAGCTTGGTCTCTTTCCTTGGGATCTAGTAGGAGGATCTGCAGACACCAGATGCACTGAGTAAGTTTCAACATACCATGTTCCTACTCCTGAAATTCCCTGAGAAGCACTTCCTTTGTTTCAGCCTGACTTGCTCTCTGTAACACTGTGTAACACTATGCCAGCCTGACTTGCCCTCTATGCTGTTACAATGTCAGGAAAATAAGAATGAAAGTTGGTAAGGAAAAAAGGAGGGATTTTATCTTCTCTTGTTCAACTTTCCCCTGTTCTTCCTGAATCTAACAAAATAAATTTTTTTCAACACAGATCCCTTTCCCTTTATTATAGATTCTGGAGACTACAGAGAGGAAAAACTAGATGGGACATCAGGAGGGAGGGAGGTGGCACGGGCTGAGGCTTCAGAGAGTTTGATGGGTTGGTGTATGAGAGTCCCTGAAGCATTTATGAAGTACAAGGGAACTGGCCAGGCATGAGTGAGGTAGGGATCTTTAGGGAAATACTGTGCGGGTTATAAACTGAATCACATTTAATGGTTTTTGAGAGATACAAGAATGACATTCTTCTCCTAGGACTTTTGATTTCAGCACGGTGCTTCACCTGTGCAGAGAACGGAACGCCTAAAGCATTGATTTATACCCAACCTACACTTGGAAACAGAAACTGATAACCTTGAATGGCATGACTCAGACCTCCTTCAGCAAGTTGATCTATGGTGTTTCTAACAAGGAGACGCTGCAAAAAGCTCCCATCTGGAGGGGACAGTGGAAGCTGAGGTGAAAGACATTCTCTGTGCATGAAGCCATATAACTGGCACAGGGACAGATGCACACAGAGACAGGAGCTTCTATTACGCCCACCAGCGACGGCACCTTTTCCTAACTTATCCAAAGATTCACATAGGTTGGTACAGTCCTGCGTCCAACTTGTACATTTCCAACAACTAAAATTAACAGTTTCAGAGAGAAGTCTATTCCAATTTTCAGATTATTGTTAGATTATTCTAATAATAGAATAATCTGATTATTAGAACATTTTTTTCTTAATCTTTGAGCCAATATCTGCTACTTGAGATTTGAGATTTCTGTTCTTTGGTCATTATCCTAATCTCTAAGGTACTGCTTCAGGGTCTGCACACACACACACACACACACACACACACACACACACACACACCCTGACTTTTTCTGATTATGTTCATTTCATAAATACTCATTTAAGTGTGGATATACATATGTAAGTTGATTACTGTCCTGACGCATGCAGTCAATGTATTTCTCTCACAAAATACCAACCAATACAATGCAGTGAACAAAATTCTGTGCTCTCAAAATTGTTAGTCTATTTTTTACCATGTTCTTTTGGTTTCTGTGATTATTTTATATTATGTGACCTATTTTTGATTCCAATAGAGACCAAAGGAAAACAGTTTTATAAAGTAATAATTGCCTAGAAAAAGAATCAGTTTTACACTCAAATGTACACTTTACAGTGATAAGACACTTTCAAACATATAGAAAGAGTGGTAGCTCAGAGGGAAAGAAAAATGTGGAGAGTAGAAGAAAAAGGAGGGGCAAAAGAAGAGAAAGAGGAAGAAGGAAGGAAGGAGAAAGAAAAATATAAAGGAAAAGAAAGTGGAAGGGAAGGGACAGGAAGGGAAGGGGAGGGGAGGGGAGGGGAGGGGAGGGGAGGGAGGAGTAAAACATAGCAGCTCACTGTAGATTAGTAAATCTTTTCTTATTTTTGACCAAAAATATATAAATATTAATTAATAAAACTATACATGAGAACTCATCATAATTTAAGATTTTAAGATGCCAAAAAATAAAATAATACAGACTTATGTAGTACAGCGCTGAGCATTCGCTTCCCTAAGGACTGCATAATTGTGGGTCCGTAACTGGCAGTCCAGCGCTAGCAATCCCACTGCAGGCAATGTCAACCCACACTAAAGAAATGTGTGTGTCACGGAAGATGATGACTGTGCCTGTCTGCGGTCTCACTTTTCCAGCCACATGTCCTGCATTCTTGCAGGTATTCTCTGTATGAACTTTTTCAACATTTTGCTTCCAAGCTACTTGTATCTTTATATTTAAAGCATATAATCAGGTTTTCGCTTTTGAGTCTAATGTACCGGTCTCTGTCTCTAGATCATATAAATGTGGTGTAGTGATCACTGTGGTTGGGTTCACATCTAAAGCCTTGTTTGTCAGATTTTCTGCTCTGCTGATCTTGTCCTTGGTGTCTGCAGTGGTTTACGCTCATATTTTAATCTGCACTTAGTTGAATATTCTGCAGGTACAGATTTCTGGGATTGGCACTCACCTGACTTTTTTTCTTTGATATCCTTCTGTGTGAAGTCTGGGTGATTAGGCCTCTTCGGTCTCTCAATTATTTCTCTTCACCCTAGAAAGACACAGGAAGTCTCCTCTTGGGTCCTCCAGCCCCATCCATTCTGTTCCACTAAGGCCTGATGATGTTCCTGACAGGAAATTGGATCACTGTAAGACTATTTATTTTTTATTCCTCTAATCTTTGCCCCCTGCAGGCTGATGTCTGAATTCTTGACACCATTGTTCCATATAATGTGGCAGGTTATTTTAATTTGTTTTAGGCAGTGCTGCAAATCTAGGACATGTGACCTAAAATTGGCTAGAAATGGAAATTATCCTTTTTTATAATTTTTATGATCACTTTCCCCATGGCTTTTTTATCTTGTCTCTTTGCCTTTTTTTAATGTGATACTAAAATCTAGCACAGCACTTAGCTATGTTCCGACTTTAAAAATAGAAACAGTGCCACATAATTACATTCTTTTTGCAAATCCACCTTTATTTAAAAAGCGTTGAAAAACTCTGTTCCAATATTAATATATCACCTTATGTGATATATTTACCATATGTTTTATATTGAAGGCATCTTTTACACAAACCTACACACCACTTTATATGCAACCTTTTCTGAGACCTTGAATCTGGTCATTAATCCACTGTATCAAAATCTTTCTTAATCTGATTGTCATTACTAGAACTGATCTTGTCTCACTCCACCACACTAACTATTGCTCCAAACATTGTAACCTGTCACTTCAGGTTGCCACAAAAAAATATAAAAGACTGGACAGCTCAAGAGTCAAGAATCTATCTCATGGCTCTGGAGGCTGGAGGGTCCTAGGTGAAAGGGCCTCTCAATTCCACTCTCCAGGGAGGCTTCCTTACCAGCTTGTAATAGCTACTGTCTCTCTGTGTCCTCACAAGGCAGAGTAAAGGAGGCAAGTTCTCTGTTGTCTCTTCTTATAAGAGCACCAGTTTCACCACAAGAGGCAAAACCTCACAATATCATCTAAACCCAACCACCTTCCAAAGGCCTCTCTCCTATTATTGAGAATTAGAGTTTCCATTATGAATTTTGGAGCCACAAAATTCAGCATACCCCAAAACTGACTTGAATTATACTTTATTCAGATAATCAATAAACAAGAAAATCAAATGTATCTACTAATCCATGTATGTCAGATTGAAATTTACTCTTTAGTAGGGATTATTGTACAATAGTCAAATGGAATTCTTAATGTGGATTTTTCATTGGGTCCAAAAGTTATCTTAAGATCTTATAGCAACTTCTTACTGAAATAAAGTATACTGTTTTCAGCAGACAAGTAATTTTTTATCATTTATATTTTAAAAGATATTAGAATGTGTCTAATAATTTCATAAGTCTCTCTCTCTCTCTCTCTCTCTCTCTCTCTCTCTCTCTCTCTCTCTCTCTCTCTCTCTCTGGACCCAGAGTCTCCATTTGAAAAAGATAATAGTAAAGAAAAACTAGACCACCACAACTACTATGTTAGTAAAAAGTGACTACAATACTCTGTACAGCATATATTTTTTCCACAGAAACTAACTCAGAACAAACACTTTTCCATCATTATGGGACATGAACTTAGTAAATTACTTCTAAGGGAAATTCAAAAATAGTGTTCATTTAGATGTTAGCCTCATTAGTTATGTTAGCCTCATTATCCCAACTCATAATTTATACAGAATTTCTGAGAGATGGTCGTTTGACTTTTTATTTGCAATACATGACTATTCTAATGTTTATGAGTTGGGATAATTTTTAGGGTTCTCACTTGGAACAAAGAATGCTTTCTCAAAAGGCAGTTATTGAGTAGATAAAAAGATAATCTGATAACACTGAAAAATAATCAAATTGCTCCTATTTGTTTCATTTATAGTGTCAAAAAGCAAGATTCTGTCATCCATTACTCTTACTTAAACTGTCATGTCTTTGTATTCTGTTACAGGATGAACAGAACAAAATGCAAAGTATTTGAACCTTGATAAGAATTTAGATATTATTTACTCCATCTTTCTGGTTATTAAATAATAAAGTTACCACTATAAATAAGAATATTTGAAGAATTATTTAAAAAGCGTTGAAAAACTCTGTTCCAATATTAATTTAAATTTTAGTACAATATTTTCCTATAAAATTATTTCTTTACTTTATTACTTTAGGCATAACTATACAGAGAATCTTTATTTCAATGAACATTATATCAAAAGCCTTTATCACATTATAAAACCCTCTTAGTGAACACTATTTTTAATAATTGTACCTAATCTCTTCACAAAGCTGTACCACAGTACATACACCCATTTCTCAATATTAAGAATTATTATTTCTATAGTTACCACCAGAGAAAAGTCTTGGCATATATCTTTTTCTAGATTTCAGATTATTTCTTTAGTAGTAGAATTATTAGGTTCTCACTGTCCAAGAATCATTCTTAATAATGTCATTTTTACTGGTGGATAACTTTTACATTCTCCCTGGAGATTTTTCTAAACAGAATGACATCTATGATAAGCTCATCCTTTGAGTAGCCTTTATCTGCCATACATTTTTCACAGTACTTCAGGATTCCCAGTTTTCTAGATCAATTGGCTTTTCAGTAAAAATGTAGAGCACTCATGCTCAGACTCTCCTAAGACTTCAAAGCCCCAGAATATATTTTCTTTTGAGTTTGTTTTTCCTTGCTAAGTTACATTCCACAGCTGATAACATAATTCAAATACGAGCTACCACTACCTTGTAACTCAAGAACACAAAGTAATACTTAGAATTGCTCAGTGCTCAAACTCATTGGTCTCAGGAAGTCTAAATGAAACTAACTATGACTTAGACATGGGATCAAAGTAACAGGAAATGGACAGTGAATAATTATCCATTTATCATTTATGAGAAGGTATAGAAAAATTCTCATACCATTTTAGTTCATTGAAAATTCAATATTTTAAGGGACTTTTCAGGTCTACAAAGCATTTCTTTCATTTCAAGAAGTAGCAATTAGAAATATGATAGTTTTCATCACCCCATTAACTAGTAGCACAACTGAAATTAAAAGTGTTAAGGTTTTCTTTGCACACAAATTGTACTCTTAGTAGTACCACACTTTCCATATACTGGTAGTAAAAACAATACATACAATAGAGTGATAAAATCAACCCTTACAGAATATCATTGTTTTATTCATGTCAAAAATAACATCACCAAAAACAGAAACATTCCAAGTGCTGGCCTAAGACTAACTATAACTAACAAAAACAAAACTGAAAATTAATGCCAACTTTTCAAGGTCTTAGAGGGGATGATTTAGATAAGCAAAATATCAAGGACAGTGCTTGGCACCCAACAGAGGCACTAATAAGCACTAGTGTTAGTGCCCATAACCTTCTTTCATTAGTTGCTAAGTTAATTTTGATAATGTTCAAGCCCTGTAACATCTTGAATTGAATTTTTAATGTGCCTTTGCGCATTAAACTCATAAAGGAATACTAGCTTATATGTCTGACTTCCCATCATTATTTAATCTGAATAAAATGTTTTTTCTTCTCCTGCTACAGTCTTACCGGGTTTGTAATTTTCTGTGAACCTATGTACTTAGACCCCAAACTGAATAACCACCTTAATCCATTTCCATCTGTGTCAATCCTTTTTCAATACAGAAGAATTAATTTTTGAGTGGAAATGCTGAAATACGTGAAGTTGCAAAGAGTTCTGAAATCTCTGCAGAAACCTCTTAGTGATATCTGACATGGGCATTAACGGGAGTGATCACAAACACTGAGAATTCACCATTACTGTCGGAGGAATTTAAATCTAAGGCAATTCTCTCCTAGTTTTACCTATAACAAATTGACTGTGAGTCCCAATCCAACTCGTAAGACACATTTTTACTAAATTTAGAAACTTAAAACTAGTGCCAAAGTAAAAAGTAATAAATATGCTCAGTAGCACATATTTCATATATCTACCAATCCCTGCAACTGTTCATAAAGAATTGTGTATGAGTCATTTGTTAACACGTGTATTTAAATTAAAATCTCCACCTAATAAATACATGCTTCTAACCTCCTATTCTCAAGAATATTCTTATTAACCAGTTTATTTTTAAAAAGATTATGTACAATGGTTATACTATTTTCTGATGCATCTCTATGAATTACCCATATCCAAGAATGAAAGAGTTACAGTTCAAGAGACTCATCAATTTGGGACTGTAGAACTGAGTTTAGCAGTGATCTTTCCCACATGGTAGTCAACATCTTGAGCAGATAATATTCCAAAAAATGAATGTGGTGAAACTAGCTATATCACATTCATACATGAAACATTTTCTGACCCTGACAACCGACGATGGGTATAAGGTAAGCAAACCATGTTCATACACTAACCACCTCTGCTCTCCTGGGTACCTATCAAATAGCAATCAGCTGAATCAACTGAAGGCAGAGAACTGATAAATATGCTGTAAGTTCAGAAACTTAAAGAATATCATCACAAGAATATGTCTTCTATTCCTGTCATCCCTGGAATGATCATCAGTGCAAGAGACTGAGTCAGGGAAAATTAAATATGACTTATTTTCTGTTCATTTTAAGTTACTTTCAAAAATCTTTTTCAATGATGCAATCAGATTAAAAATAAAAAATAGATAAGTTCAAGTGTAAAGTAGAGGTGGGGACACATAATAATGCAAAATATTTGAGATCAAAGAATGCTGAAGGGATATTTTCATGTGATTTGGCATGTGGTTTGACTATTATTGCAATAGAGAATCTCGGAATCCCTCACAAGAAGGATATGATTGAGCCACAGGAATTAATACCAAGAAAATGAAATACAGGATTAGAGATGGAACACCATCAAACAGAGAAGGTGCAAAAAGTAAATAAAAGGAAGAAAGAAAGACGAGGGCTTAGAAAAGTCCATGGAATTTAGCGATAGAAAGTTGCTGAGTGACGAGTTTAATTACAGCAAATCAGATTGCAACAGGCTGACCAGTAAGTGAATGGTAAGAAAGTAGGGTCTACTCTTTCCAAAGTATAAGCAAAAGACGTGCAGAGGAAACCAGAGGGCTTTTAAGACAGAGGTCTCTAATCACTTTTGTAGATGAGCAAAAATGTGGTCAGAGAACAGTGAAAATGAGGCAGGTGTGATGGTACTACAAACAGCAAGTCTGGAAAGAGGCAAAGAGCCGGTGTATCAAGGGCTTTAGCAGAGAAGCACATTTTAATAGAACAGGAATGGAAGAGAAAATACAGAGAAGGGAGAGGAGTCTGGACAAATTGTCCTAAAATAATGTTGCCAGATTTATGAAATAAAAACCCAGGATTTCTAGTTGAGCTTTAATTTTAGCTATGCTACAAATAATTTTTACTATAGAAATGCTACAGAGAAGAGATGGTAAGGGTCTCAGAGATGACAAAGGCTGTAAACTTTAGGGAGTAGCTAGGATGCAGAAAAAGAAATGAATGCAGAGATGTTGTAAAGAGAAAATTTATACACTTTATAATTAATATTGTCATTTAAAGAGCAAGTAAGAAAAGTCAGAGATGGCTGCAATATGTAAACTTCATGAGAAATATAAATATATATATAATTTTTTTTGAGATGGTCTCACTATGTGGTTCAGGCTGGCCTTGGCTCACTTTGTAGCCCAAGCTGGTCTTAAACTTGCAATGATCCTCCTACGAGTGCTGGGATTACAAGAGTGTGCCACCAAGTCAGGCTCCATAAAATTCTGAAGCAAACTTATGTAAGAACGAACACATTTTCTGATTATCTGAAATTCAAAATTTTGCATGGGACATGCATGCTTAAAAAGTCATCTACCTGAAACAGAATCTTAAACATGCAGTCCATGTTTTGTCTTATAGTGAACCGAATTTGAAATAGCACCAAACCCAGGTCATGTTCTCCCACGGGTCACTAGTTGTGTAACCAGAAAGCTCATCTGTCTGCAGAAGGTCATAGGAGCACTCCCTGTTTGAATTCTAGTTCTGCTACTTGCTACCTGTGAAAGCTTCACCGCATTGGGGTGGCAATGGTATGAAATAAAATAATTTTCCTAGAGTAAAAGGTAGAAAGGCTGTTACAGGACAAGCAGTTGATAAATTTCAGACCCTGGTGGGCTGCAAAATGGCTCTAGGTATAGGAACAACAGATTATTCTAAGCACAGATAAATTTCATTTAGTCGGTAGTATTATCGGAACGATTTGTAATCCTATTGACCATCTGTACTACATTGATTTCAGACTAGTAAATCACACATTCGCATTTCAACTCTGAACAATACGCTTATAACAAATACAATCAGAAATGCTCCCTACCTTACAGGCCGGTTCTTCCTGCACTCTCTTGAAACAAGAGTGTCACCTAGTGGCTAAAATGTTAATGACAGACAATTAAGCACCTGGATTACTATAAGGATTACTATACATTATTTCTTAAAAAAAAAAAAAAAAAAAAAAAAAAAGCGGGTTTGCGTCACTGATGAATATTGATGGTAAGGAGTAAGTTTCCACAACACATCACATCGACTCTTTTAACTTTGTCTCATTGATATGGTGCATATTTTCCACCAACAAGGACACAGTTTTTGCAACTTTACCCACTCTCACCTGCCACTGTAACTTCGTTGGTGACACCTACTCCTGCTGCTCAGGTTTAATTATGAAATGACTCATGTGGATGCTTGACTTTTCAGAGTTTCTCCTAACTTCATTATTCCATGAAAAGTTTGGCTGCAGCGGTGGGAGAAGTGAGCAGAGTTGGAAATATGAAACTTGAGGCTTTTTCAAATACCAGCTTCAATTTTGTGCCTCCTATTTAGGTGAGAGATTTCTATTTTATGTACCATATTGTTAGGAGGATCTATGTTTTCTTTGGAAAAGAAGAAAAATTTTACCCAAACCCAAATTAAGATATAAATATTCCGTTAAAAGTTTTATTTCTATATTAATTGGGGACCAGTATCTATTACAGATATATTATTGTAGCTTCTGTCCTAAGATCCTCTCAATCAGGGGAGATATTTACAGCTTAGGAAAACAAAATTTTAGTAAGCAAAATTTAGTAAATAAGTTTAGTGACCAAAATGTTTAAGCAGGGATAAATAGGAAAGCCTTTGTTCACTTCCAGAAATGTCAAGAGAAATTAAGAATTCCAAGTACTCCCTTGGAGAGGTTTTGCCCTGGCCCTATTTAATCTGATTTTATATGAGAATATTATGATAGTACCAAACTAGAATCCTTTTGCTTAGTGGTCAGCAGATGGTTAAATTAAGCAAACCTGGCATTATGACCAGCAATATATCAACTCAAATACAGCTTGAGTTATTAATCAATGACTGTTAGAAGTATTTCCTGAGTTTGTGAGAAAAAATATATACTCATATATATCATACAGAACCAGTGACTTGGTATATATTTAAAATCCCCAGACGGTGGCTTTAGACTACTAAGTACTTTGGATCTCCCAAATCGTTCACAGTTGTTCTCCCCACCCTGCCCCCAGATTCCCCTTCACTCAGAATCCTCCACATTTGACAGCTGACCCTATTTCACAGTGTTCTTAGATGGTGGGAATTCTGGTTTTCTCTTTTTCTCCTGATAGGAATAAGTGAAGATATGAACATGGATAATTTATTAGAAGGGGCATGCCAGTGCTTCTAAAATCAGTCCTAAATATGGATGAGAACACATCTCCTGTAATATCTCTTCCCTCTCCCGTATTTGCTTTTTCTTCTTGATGTTTACTCTGGGGCACTTTGAAGCCTCAATCCTAGGACCAGAGGTGGACACCCTGCAATCTCAGGCCCACAAATGGAGCCAAAGCACTCCATTCCATAGAGTTCCAGCTCCTACACACCTGGGAAGCCAGCCTATTAATTCTTGTCTTATCAGTTTCCAGGGGATCGATGACCACTCTGGTACAAAAAGTTAAGCTGAAGTAACAAGGGATACTCTGCAGGCTTTCTGAGCTCATCAGTGAGGCATGTTTAGAGCAGCAGCCTATTCTGTGGCGACCCTAACATGGCTGAGAAAATCGAGGAGCACCTCAGTGAATGTTCAGCAACAAAAATATGCCTATCCATTGTAAACATGATTATTTCATATCCAAAAAATATGGCTCTCCTTCAGGTTTGACTTTTTAATTTTAAGAGCATCAAATTCTCAAACGTTTAATTTCTCAATTCCCACATAACACTTGAGAATGGACTGGGTACTTCACATTACAGATGTGCCCCACCGCCAACTCTCTTTAAAACAGTTTCACTTTCAGAAAATATAACAGAAGAGACTCCCTGTTTTAATGTATGCAAGAATTATGGTGGTGGGCACGCACACACATCTTTAGAAATTGCCTAGTGATAAACAATCACTTCTTGAAAAGTCTAAAAGAGTTTCCTAAACGATGAGCCATTTAATAAAATTTTTGCCAGCACCACCTTAAAACATAATGTATTTAACACTTTGAGAAACACTAAACGGTTTATGATAGAGTGGAAAGATTTGATTATAGCCAATTATGTCATAGAATTAACAAGCCCCAAAATACATTTGATATCAATCTCTACACTTACAGGAATGGTGGGCATGCTTTGCAGAGCAAGAAAAGCACAGATTCCAGAACTTCCAGAGAACTGAGGGTTACACCAGTTGAAAGAAATTAAGTTAAATATAACAATGAATTGACTATTCATAGCAAATCAGTGGGAAATCCATTCTCTTAGGCTGTGGGCATAGCTCAGTGACAGAGCCAGTTTTTAGTCTGCACAATGTTCTGGGTTCAATCCCCAGCAACGGTTTTTGTTTTTGTTTTAAAAAGAAAAACCTGTTTTATTTTCCCAGCATGTTATATGTGTCATTTATTTTCAATAAGCACATGTATCTGAAAACTCATATTTACAACATCAATCTAACTTCATTAGAGAAAAACGAAGGGGCAGAATGGGGGGAAGAGTGTAAGCTGTGGGCTTGGGAAGGCTGGAAGGCAGTAACCCCAAAGCTATGCGGTAGGGATATGCACCAGTTCCCCAAGATGAATGCAGTGATTATAGACCACAAACCCATACTAATAAAAAAAGTCCAGACAAAAAATACAGCTTCCATCAACAGCAATTCCTATATGGATGGAGATTTAAAAATAGATTTCAAGACAGCCCATGTGCAATATGTGAGAACTATGAGAAAATATTAATTATCTAAAATTGAAAAAATAGGAGAAATTAAAAAGAAAAAAATAAAAGAGAAAGTATACAATTCCGACTCTCAGAGGACTCTGAAAAAGAAATAAGCACCTTTGAAATAAAACCCATTGGACTAAGCAGGGAGCTTAAAGTTCTGTACCACTGATGCACTCTGGTTTAGACAAGTTGCTCTACGTTTTCTAGTTTCATGAATACATTTACTTGAAAAGTGAGGTAGCTCGCGGTTACACCCTCCTCTCCCACATATCTCAGGGGACAGCTGCCTCCTGCCCCTTTACACAGACTCTGACCTGGTCCCTTTCTTCACTCTTCTTTGTATTGCATTTCCTCCTTTTCCCTTCTGGGCTCATCCTACTTTGCATTATTGCTAGAACCAACCTGATGAATCTTGAATGAGCTGAAATAAATTATCCTCTGTTCAAAGTGTCTTCATGAGGATAAAGCAATAATACCCCACAAAGTACAATTTAAATACAATCAGGCCAGACTGTGGAAGCATCTTGCAAACCCCAGGCATTCTGTACCAACCTGGAAATATTTCCAGTATATTTCAATTCTCCCAATGAACGTTAAGCAGTATCGTTATAGCTGGAATCATCACAAGCTTTCAGGACAGCAGAGCCTTTCTTGGGATAGTGGGGCTAAAATAAGCCAAAATGATAACCTCATTCAGTCACTGGTGTTTTATAAATGTTTATCCCTAGAAAAATCAGCATTTTGTTTATATTGAAACTTCACGGTTATATTATAGGCTTGCTGGAACCCTCTGGATGTTTGAACAACAAATACTACCACCACAAAATAAGCCAATTAAGATGTCTGACATTTTCATTAGGTTTCCTTCCCTTGTCACCTTGTTATTCTAGCACTCTAGGTTTCAAATCAAGTTATTTGGATTTCCTTAAGTGCTTTTGAAATTCAGCAAGAACTTCATTTAACCAAAATAAATGATTATAGGACATTAATTCCTAAAGATCATTTGGTACCAACCAAATGTGAATGAGCTTAGTACTGTAAGAAATACTGTTGCATGGAAAAGTATTTTTATAACAATAAATAATCTTTGCATGAAAACAAGAGTTTGGTAGTATCAATAAAATATGTTTCATAACAATTTCTCTGTTTTTCTAAGTAGCTCTATAAAATATAATGTATCATAATTCTGGATTATGATACAGACCTACATAAATACAAACAATGTATTTTATATAAAATAACTTCTGAAAATGGCAAGATTGAAAGCATCTAATTTCATAATTATTTATGTCAAAACTGGTATTTTATTGCCCATGTACTTTAAAAATACATTCAGAGAACAAAATTATTTCAAATCTATTTCATTTTTTGTAAAGAGTAATTCTGTTCCTCAAAGAACTTCTCAGCTTAGCAATCTTGGGTCATTTGTATGACACCACACTAGCAAAATTATACAAGTGATAGAAAAAGATTGCATAAGCATAATCTTCTAAAAAGATAACACAAAGTCCCAGCACTATGACTAGGAAGTTTTTACTAAATTAAAGGAAGATGGTAATGCCAGCTGTTTCTCTGACCTCCACTCCTGCCTACCAATAAAAAGAATCAAAATGAGGAAAAAAAGACAGTACAAGAGCATGCACACACAAGCACACACACACACACACACACACACACACACACACACACACACACTTCCCCTGCATCACATGGTAAGTTGTCTCTTCCCTAGATATCAGGAGTCTCACAACCGCCTATTGGCTCCAACTTTTTCCTAATAGTTTTATAATTCATAACCTACTCTAAACCACAAATTGGCAGGCTGTGATTCAGAGTGCCAGTTTTAATCCTTCAGAGAAGAAAGAAAGAAAAAAAAACAGAGAGAGAGAGGCTTTTCATGGCAGACATGATGCAGCCTTATGACGTGGTCCTTTGCAGATAGTTCTTGTGACTTTTTAAACGTGCTCTTCATGTATCTTGGGTCTTGGCTCTGTTAACAGAGCTATCTGTATGTAGCCTTGCTACATGTAGTCTGTGATCTTTGATGATGGCACATAAGGAAAGAAGTTTTACAGGGTTAGGGCCTCACCCTGGGTTAGAAAATTTAGAATTGTAGGAGAAAGCTAAGCATAGAAATCTCTAAACAGCAATAAAAGCATAACTTTTTGTTTGTATATGATTATAAAATAGGTAATAAGAGTTTATAGTGATAAAGAAGACTAGTTTTTCTTTTTTATTCTCCCTCTCAGGCAAATGTGAATGAAAAGGAAAATTCCAGAGAGGACCCATGGCAGAGACAAACAAGAGAAAAACTGACTAGATGATCCTCACGAAAGTTAGTGTCCCGATTGTTTCAAGTTCACCTAGATAAAGGTTGGTTGAAATTGTTAGAAAATAAAAACACTGTCAGTGTGTTGGATTCCCAACAGAGCACTGCAGATGGTTTACAGATTCCACACCTTCACATGTACGTGAAAACCTACGTGGAATAAGGTTAATTACGTTTCTGGTCTAACTTTGGTTCAGAATGTGGATAACCACTGGCAGAAGCAGATGCAGCCCTCCCTAGTGTGGCTCCCACGATGATAACTGATACTTGATCATGCATCAGCAATGCTGTTTCCTGACATCACATCATGATTTTTCTTTAGCACGTTATTGGTTATTTGATGCTTTCTTTCTATCATCCAGGACTCTAGATTTTCAAATAGTCAACTGATTTCTGTTTATTATACCCCCTATAGTTCAAACTCCCACTCACTCTAGACCCCTAATCAAGTATTGCTGCATTAGACCTAAATCACTCTACATACAAAATACCCCCCCATTTTCAATCTTCCCAATCCTATTTTATTTTTCTTCGAACTACTTATCCCCTACATTATTTGTCTGTTGTTTACTATTCCTCCTTTAGAACATCAGCTCTATTAGAGAAGGGTCCCTGTTAGTCCTGCTCATTGTTGTATCTTTAGAACAGAGAGCAGGGTCTTCTAGATAGTACCTTGCAGTGAATCTGTATTTGATAAATTAATAAATGGAAAAATAATAATTTCAAGTTAAAGAGCTTGTAAATAGGGATTAAAAATGCAGGGAGACTGTTTCTGCCACCAAGGCATGACAAATGAGACTGGTAGAAAGGTGACAAGAGAGGGAAAACAGGACTCTGGAGAATCTCACCTAGAAAAAGGGACAGAGGGCAAAGCCAAGGAATGAACCAAGGCATGTGTTTTCAAAGGGGAGATGCCAACTGAGTGCAAACCCACAAGGAAGACTAGGCCTTTGAGAAGCAGGAAAATGGGAAGGACATCTCTGCTGGCTTTTGGAAGACTAATTTTTGTGGAATAATGGAACAAAAACCAAGTGACTGTACACTGAGATAGAAAAAACAACAACAAAAACAAAGTCTTCGGCAGGGAGTCAAGATTTTCTCATACGCAACACACTTCTCAGGTGTCACCTGAGCTTCAAGAAACTGCTGAAATATTGCTGAATACATATGTATACAGCTGGAAGAATGTTTAGAATTTTCCTTCGAGTCCTGCGATGCCTCATAAATTGTAGCTGAGGTCATGGGATTAAAATAGTAAACAAAACATGGTTAACAGTATAAGATGTATGAAAATATTTCCCTAATCAAAATCAATTTACTGGGCAGTTTCTCTCAATAAATAGACCTGGTTTATTTCTGTAACTTATTTCTAATGAGTTCCAATGTCTTTCATTTGTTTTGTTTGGTTTTTTTGTTGTTGTTTACAATGTATTCTTGATTAATATAACCTTTAGAAAGTTGCCTTGAGGCTTCATGTCTTTTGAGTAGAGTCTGAACCTTGACCTTTGGGATTGAGGGTCTCTCTGCTGTGCTCCATTGATTTAACTTCCCACTATGGCAGAAGCAACTTTAATGCAGAAGGGGTAAGTCTTGACTTGGATTCACAAAGGCCAAGAGTGAGCTAGGGAAAATAAACGCAGTTCCTCACCAAATTCTCTTAATACTTTTCTAGAAAAGGAAGGTAGAAATCGTAAAGTGATGGGGAAAAAAACTTATGTGGCACACAGATCTTTCTTTCTTTCATTCTTTCTTTCTTTTTCTCAATTTTTTATTTCCTTTTTAAGCCAAAGGAAAACACAGCATTACTGGAGCCTAACAATCTATGAGTACAGTATCAATGCTTAGATTAGGATCTCTGTAATTGATTTGTCTTCTTTGCTCAACATTTGTCTTCCTTTGCTTAATAAAAAGCCTGGACACTGCATGGCATGGTGGTAGGCATGAGCTGACTGTGCAGAACTGATGGGCACCCAGCAAAGCACTGAAGGAGCACCTCGCCTGTTCTACTCTTGAGAAATTCCAAAGATCTCAGGGTCACGCTGGTTAAAACATTTGTAAGAACAAAGCAATACTCGCAGAGGTACCAGTTGTAGATTTTTGCTTATCTTCCAGTTCTAAAATGTAAAGATTAAAAAATAAATTAAGGTTGATCCAATAAATATTTTTATTAAAATAAGCAATTACTTTTGTAGAGGTTTCAGAATGTTGACTTCTAAAGGACACACCATTCCATTTATGCTTGATTTGCTCTTTTCCCATACACAAATCTATCTAGCAAAGATAGGCATGTTCAACACTAAACAAAGTCCAGACGATAAAAGGTAATATGTGTTTTGATCAGAACTTTAACACAGTCTAACCACAGAGCATTTGAGGTGAAGGTCAAAAATGATACAAACTACATAAACCTTACTCCTGTTTGACAGAGCTCTTAAATAGCCAGTTAGCTAACATTTACTGAGCTTCCTCCTAATATTCTTTGTTCATTGTCTGCGATAACCATTAAAACCTTCACCAGTTGGGGAACCTAGAAAATTCTTCAACGTATAGCTTAAGTATTTATAGTAAATTCTCCATGACTTAAAATTTTACACTTCAGATATCACTGACCTTACTTCTCAGTGCACAAAATAAGTAAGGAAAACTGTTACTGGCCAGTACAGTGTCCGTATCCTGAATATTTACGTGACCTATCATGACCTATTATGGCAAGGCCCTGGGTTTGACATTGAGCAAAGAAAAAGGAAGGAAAGAGAGAAAGAAAGAAAGAAAGAAAGAAAGAAAGAAAGAAAGAAAGAAAGAAAGAAAGAGAAAGAAAGTTGCAACCTCAAAGGCTTTTCATTTTATACACTTTATAATCAATTTCTGAAATCAACATGGCTCTAAAATAGAGCAAATCCAAAACAGAGACACACAACTAGTAATTTAATCTTTTAATAATACTACTTAGTTTTACCATGAAACCAGTTAACCAACATCATCACAAACCATAATGAAAGATTTGATTACTGCCTGTTCACTCTTCCACAAAAGAACTTTTGAGATCCCATTTAGAGGTTTGACTACTTACACACCAGTACAAGTCTCTCTTGAGAATAGCAGCCTTCTAACACTGGTCATATGTCAACGGGGAGACACAGTTACGAGTCCTGTCTCCTTTACATACACCTCCAGTATGAACTGTGATGTGCTATGAAGTACTGTACATGAAGGTTAAAAAGATGGAATTATAAACCTGAGTTCTTTTTTCAGAGATGTACAGTTCACCAATCAGCAAACATCTGAATTCTCCGGAAGGCACTGCCTGGCACAAAAGCTTACTTTTTCCTCTGGAGAACTGACTCGTCCAATCTCAGTGCATATTTGGGGGAATGAAAGATTTAGCAATCCCATTGTCAGCTCAAGATAGACCACATAATTCAGGCTCAGATAATGATGGAACCACTTCCTTCTGACAACTGTGATTAGTCCGGGATGATCACATGACCTGAAGTAATCCAGCAGAGCCAATGGGCATCAGTTCCAGAACATTTTTGGGGCCTCCTAAATAGAATGAAGTTCTCCCTGTCCCTCTTCTCAATTGTGCCAAAGGGCACAATTTAGAAATGAAGCCAAGACAAGGGAAACAAAGACACTAAATTGAAAGATCAGAGTCCTGCTAATAAATTTTGGAACCAGATCTAGTCATGATGAGCTATTCAGCCAAACCCATCACTGGCCTTCATACTGAGTCAGTGTGTAAGTTGGTAGTTGGATTTCTTTGTGTGTGTGTGGGGGGGGGGGGTTTCACTATACAATTATGGTTGGCCTTGAATTCACTTTGTAACCCAGGCTGCTCTCGAATTCACAATGATCTTCCTATCTTAAACCTTCAAAGTCCTAGGATTACAGCTATACACCATCAAGCCTAGTTTTTGCAAATTGTGTTTCTTTACTTGCAACCAAGAGTTCTGACAAATTATAAGTATTCTAAAATCTGCAGGACATTAGGCAAAGTGCCAAGGATACAAAACATGCAGCAAACAATCCCTGCCTTCAAGAATCTTTTTAGTATTCAATTGGAAAGACAAGAAATAAACATAAAAGTAACTAGAAACATATGGCTTAACTCAGTGATAAGTCCTATATGATCACAGAGAAAGGAGACACTAGCATAGACTGAATAGTCAGCAAGATTTCACAATATAAGAAAAAGATGAGCTGGGTTTGGAAAAATGACTCAGATGTGGCCACTTACAGAGGAGGTAAAAAGACATTTCAGAAAGGGCAAACTACTTGGAACCAGAAAGTCAAGAATGTGCTTAGCATATTGGGGAAATAATGTAGTATAAACAGTAAATTGATCATAACATGTTAAAGCATGGGGTATCAACAAAATGTCCTAATGTCCAAGAATGAAAGGAATGCATATTTTTCTAAAGACATACATATTATACATAGTATTTTAAATGCATCCCAGATAGGATGATATTAATTACTTAAGTAGAGTACAATAGCTAAGTGTTGAAAGTATGGTTGGATAAATAATAACAAAATCAAAATTAAATGTAGTCTTTTCCCTTTCCATCCAGTAGACAGCCTTCCCACATAGACAGCACTTCCTGCCCCTTCTCCTTCTGCAGCACATCTCAGCCAGAACTAAAAGGCCAGTGAGAAAACCTCATCCCACATCAATGTTATTTATCTCCTATTTCAGAAACCAGAGAGAATAATAGATCTATAAGCTAAGAGAGGAGGTGGGAGATACATATACAAACCAAGGGTGCAAGTGTGTTATTCAGTGTACTTTATCCCATTCCTCCATGAGGTGAAAAGTTTACAATAGAAACTATTAAAGGCATTTTCTATTTCTGTAGTGGTTTTAGCCATTTCCCTTGTGTCATTAAAAATTGCACGAGCAGAGTTTAGCTTGGCTCCTGCTGCAAGCAGGAATGCAAAGTGTCTGTGTCCCTCTTTCCCCTTCTAAGGGAGCTTATTATTATTTAGTTAATTAGAATAAAATGAATGTGTTGTTTAGGTTTTCTAAGACTTCATTTTTGCAAAAAAAAACCATTATCATTTGTAATGAAGATAAAACTTTGCTGATGATTATTCTCTAAACTAATTATCTCCATTTGTGATACAATATTTGGGGGGGGGGTGAGTCTGTGAATTTTTCCTTGGAAATTTTACCAAGAATAAAGGACCTGAGTTATACTCGCTAATACACTTTATCATCCTCAGTAGTGTTTGCACGAGCAAAGTTCTCTAATCTCTTATTAGTGGATCCTCATTTATATTTTTATTTCTACTCATAGCATTGTCTCCGTTCTTTCTATTACAACATATGTCATTTGAAACAAACATGAAACAAAAGAATAGTTAAAAAAAAAAGATGAATGACTGTCCTATAAAGAATCTCTCTTCCTAAATCCATTTAACAAACCCTCACAACTCTTTCAAATATAGTTACCGATTTTACCATTGTTTACATACAAAAATTAAAACACCACTGAACAAATTATTCTTTTTGTCAAGGCAACTCAGAGATGAAGTAAAGAATTTGCCTATGTTTAGACAAAATGGAAAGGGCATAATTTTAGTGAACAACTTTTAAAAGTAAAATGCTATATTTAACCTCAGTCTTTCATTCTTTACTATTTATAATGAAATACATTAATTCCGAAGGCAAATAAACACAATTATATCTTCTTCCTATTTCAAGAAAAAGTAATTTGCCACATTAAATATAAATATACATGTTTACTAAGTTTTATACTTGTTGAATGAAAGACTTGTTGAATTTAAGAATCATTCAATATGTGGTTCAGGGACAATCACTGCCATATTTTAATCTAGTTAATAAAAATTTAACTGAAATATATGCATATTTCACAGCAAAAAGTTTAAATAAATTTTCAATATTATGTAAAGTATGAAGAATAGAAAAAACCAATTAGATGTTTTCCTGTTTTCTCAGGAAAAGGTATCATGATGAGCAATATAATGCCTCCCACGAGTATATTCACATTCTAATTCCTAAAACCTCTGAGTATCTGTGTCACCCTACATAGCAAAAGGACTTTCCAGCTCTTTCCAAGAAGAGCTTGTGAGGCATAGGTTATCCTGAATTGCTCTGGTGGGCTCAACGTAATCACAAGAGTAGTTAGACATGGGAGGAGGAAGCAGACGGGATCAAATGACATATGATAAGATATAGATCTACTGGCACTGGCTTTGAAGGCAGAGGAAAAAGACCACGAACCAAGAAATGTGGGCAGCAACCTCTAGAAGCTGTTTTAAAGCACAAGACAATAGATGTTCCCTTGAGCTCCAGAAAGAATTCATCCTGTAACACCTTGTTTTAGCCCGTGAGATCGCTTTTTGGATTTCTGACCTTCTAGACTGTAAAATAACAAATTTTTGTGGAAATGTATTGTAGCATTAATAGAAAATGAGTGGTAATATCATGATCCAAATCATCAGGACTTGAAAAGCACAGTAATGGCAGCCTCCCTCCTGCTGTAACATCCAGGCACTTCCTCCTCCTATAACATCAAGGCACTTCCAAGCTAGAAAAGACTTTGGTTAGGTATGAAAACTATTCCAGAAAGAAAATGTAGCTCATAGCTCAAGACAGAGTCAGGAGCAGAATCCGAGCTCACAACATTGTCGGTTTGTGTTAGTAGGTCTCTGAAACTTGTCTCGCTAATGAAGGGTTTTGGCCACAGCTGAATAACCTTTACAGAATAATTTGATGGAATAAGTAGTTGCTGGAAAATGCATGTTTCCAACAGGAGGAGGATACTGCTCCAGTGTTTTCCATCTGTCTCTAACTGGTGAGTGTTGTGGTCGATACATTGTATCAAATTGAGAAGTTTAAGGAAGAAATTCAGCAGGAAGCCAGGGTTCTTACTTTGTAAATATGCTCACTCTGTATGACCACTTTAAATTCAGCACCTATACTGAGGATTTAGCTCAGCAGCATAGGCACAGGTCTGGCAAGGGTGAGGCCAGGAGTTCAATCCATGGTACCAAAAAAAAAAAATCAGCATGTCTAAGATGAAACCTTGGGTCTCAGCTCCAAAGTCAGCTCCCCTAGGGCTGCTTCTTTCCCCTCACACTCTCAGAGGTT